CGGGTACCGAAGTTCCGGCCGCGTATGTAACGGAACGCTGGTGGCCCGCGATGCACGGAGCACCGACGTGCCAGCGCGAATCCTTTTTTTCCGACGGGCATCATCAACAGCCGCAGCAGCAGCAGCAGCAGCAGCGAGTACGTCGATCGACGTGTGCCACGAGCTGAGTGCTGCTCTTCTCTCTTTCTGTCTCTCTCTGTCTCTCTCTCTCTCTCTCTCTCACTCATACCCACTCACTTTCTCCATTTCACTCTCAGGGACCGGTGCGGCCGTGTGCGTGTCGTCTAGGCTCGCTATAAATTCCAAGTGTTTCCCCGTGGCCAGTCACGTGGCTGAGCGGCTAGTGATTCGGGGGAGTCCCTTTCGTTGATACGGACCAGTACTCCGTTGCCTCTGTGCCCGACCGGCCGAAGAACACAAGTGTCCGACCGGTGCGAACGGTTGTCGCTCGGAGATCGGGACGCGACCGACGGCGGGACCGCGGCACGTATGTGTGTGTGAGAGAGAGGACCGACGACGGTGGTCCAGGTCGATGTGCACAACCCCCGAGGAACGCACGGAAACTACACGTCCGTCGGCGTAAGTACGATCATCGTTTCTTCCACCCCCGGTTTAACGCTACGCGCTGCCTCTTGCCAGTGACTCATGCTCGGTAGTCAGCTGGACAGGGGAAAGAGAATGCAGCATTCTTCTCGGAACGTGCGGTTGACACGTTCGCGGACGGTGGAAATTCTAATGGGCAGAGATAGGGAATGAAAGGGGTTGTAGAATAATTTCAGAAAGTTAGGGATGTAGAAAGTTCGTGACGATGTGGATTAGACGTTTCAATTGTAGCGTTCATTTTGTGTTACGATGAAGATGAATGCTGTAGTAGGCTGCGAACGTGTTGATAGTATTGATAGCAATGGTTCTTGGTTGGGTCAGGAAATGGAGCATTCTTCTCGTAACGTGTAGTTAACACGTTCGTAGACGGTAGAAATTTCAACCCTTGCGGACGAACGTATTTTGCATTGTTCAATCGTCCATTGGAATGCCAAGTTGCAAACAAATGATTGAATCGAGCAAGAAATCACAGTTTCCTTATTCTGATTTAAGCATTCGATGTTTCATTTAGCAGTGTTTGCAGAAGGTTTTGTATACTTCCAACGATCTTCCAAAGGGTTAATGAGAAATAGGAGAAATGAAAGTAGGGGTTGAAGTGTATAATTTCAGAAAGTTAGGGATATAGAATTAAGTTCGCGACGATGTGGCTTAGACGTTTCAACGTATAGCGTTCATTTTGTATTGCAATGGAGATGAATGCTATAGTAGGCTGCGAACGTGTTGATAGTATTGATAGCAATGGTTGTCTTGGTTGGGTCAGGGAAAATGGAGCATTCTTCTCGTAACGTGTAGTTAACAAGTTCGTGGACAGTGGAAATTTTAATGAGCAGAAACAGGAAAAACGAAGGGGGTTGAAGTGTAGAATAATTTCAGAAAGTTGGGGATATAGAAAGTTCGCGACGATGTGGCTTAGACATTTCAATGTATAGCGTTCATTTTGTACAACAATGAAGACGAATGCTATAGTAGACTGCGAACGTGTTGATGGTATTGATACGAAGCAGTTGTTGGTCAAACGTCGGGTAAATTATATCGAAATGTTTATCCGCTTCGAGTCCGTTGCGAGTGTCATTCGACGGACTCCGTGGGGCTTAAGAGATATAGCTTCGCTGCAATAGGTCGATATAATTGTGCCATCTGCTATCGAGAAGCTAATAAACTTCGGAAGACCTCGTTTAACGGTACTTCATTTAACGTTCTTCCGACGAAGCACCGTTCTGCTTGAATTCTAGGCGAGCAACCGTTTCTACTCGACGGGCGATGGAATGATTATAAAATTGAAAATTCCACGTTACATTTTCTATAATATTCTATATCTTCTATAGGTTCGCTATTCCTATAAATATTTAAAGTTATAATCTGCGGCATTATATTCGACTCGATGATTTCATTTCAATATTCTGTTTAGATCGTTGAGTCGAATAGAACGCTGAACATATTAACTCTCAGTCTTGACTCTCAGTCACCTTGATTCGATAGAACAAAACTAAAGTTGAATATTTCATATTTCAAATGTCGCATTGCTACGTGAAATATTGAAATAAAACACCTTCGTTCCTTAATTCATCTGAACTATCGTTAAATCAGTTTCAGACAATATCAGCTATATCTCGTCAAAAAGTGTTGAATATTTCATATTTCAAATGAAACTTCGCATTGCTACCTGAAATACTGAAATAAAACACCTTCCTTAATTTCTCTGAATGATCCTTAAATCAGTTTCAAGCAATATCACCTATATCCTTTAAAAATCGTGTATTCCCATTGAAAAACTCTCGAGCGCAAAGGGTTAATTTATTCTGCGTATTAGAAACATCAGTTCCACGAGATAATCCATATTCACGCTCACTGTCATTAGAAGCTCTGTACAGAATCGACGGTGCCTCGTAATTGAAGAACAGTACCATCGGCAATTATATCGTTCCCGGCCGCTACACGCGTCGGTACAATTGATCGGATAGAACGTCCCTTTTCCTTTTTAACGTCATTCAATTATGGGAACCGTTAACCCGGCTCACCGTCGCGGCCGCCGCGGGAGATCAATCGTTGCGGGTAATTCGGAAAAATCAGCGAGCACAAAAGCGGCCACGGTTCGCTGGCTTATCGTCGCGCGCGCGGATAACGGGGCAGGGACGGACGGCCGTTCCGCGGGACTGTTGAATACGGCCCGATCACGTCCGCCGGCAGCTAAACATCCCTGAACTTCATAATTAATTTCCACGGGTATCGACGGGGAGACGCGCCGCGGTATATACTTCTAATCCCGTTAACTCTCTCTCGCGCCGCGGCCACCGAGTAATGAAATGCACCCCTCGTTTCACCCCTTTCACGGCTGATATTACTATTTTTCCTGCCGATGGAGACCGCCGCTCTTCCTCGCCCTCGCCTCGCTCGGGACAGAAATATTCGTGACGGTTATTAACAGGCGGCTTGTGTTGCTCGGGTCACGGATATTAACCCTTTGCACTCGGATCTTTCTTACTAGGAATATTTAACGCTAGGTATATGGACGTTTGTGCGGTTTATTCTACTACTCCTGGAAAAACTCGTTTTCGTTCGTTCGGGTTTTGGAAGTTAGAGATTTGAAAATAGTTAATTAAAGTATGTATTGATGTAATTGCGTCAATCAAAGTCGACGTAAATATATACCAAATAGTGTCTGTAATATTCAGTCAAATTGACGAGCTCCGTATACCTAGTGTTAACATTTCTTTACGAAGACGATGTTCTTTGAGACTAGTTCGAAGAGAAATCAGCACATTGAGGAACGAAGCTGTTTTATTCGAATGTTTCACGTATCGAGGCATTATACAAAGTTTGACATTAAATATCATATTCTATAATTTTTTTATATTACTTATTGACGCTTTAGCATGACCATATATATTAGAATTAGTACTATACAAATTTATTAGATATTTTGCACAAAAACTAAAATTTTATTCAATAAAATAAGTACCTCTTAAATTTTATTAAATTAAATACTGATCAGTACAAATTCTAAATTTTATTTATATTACTTATTGACGCTTTGGCATGACCATACATATTAGAATTAGCATTATATAGATTTATTAGACATTTTGTACAAAAACTAAAATTTTATTCAATAAAATAAGTACCTCTTAAATTTTATTAAATTAAATAATCAGTACAAATTCTAAATTTTTTTATATTACTTATTGACATATCAGCGTACATATCAGCATAAAATAGGTAAAACCAAAATTCATCGCAGGAGACAAATTTCTCAATTTCCAGCGCAAGTTGCAACCCTAGCAAACTGAATTTCTAAATATCAACGCTATAAAATTTGATATTTAATTATCAAAGCTCGCGTAATGCAGCAACATGAGAAATATAGAATTTCAAGACAACGCGTATACTCGTCAGCCAGTTAACCGGTTAAAGTGTTAAAACGACGCGACGCGGAGTAACTGATAAACTCAGTTTCTTCAAATTCCGCTACAGACTTTCCTAAGATACAGCTCGCGCAGTTCAAGGGAACAGCGAATTGGACCGGGCGTTTCTGCGCCGAAGGAGAGACACGAGCGGCGTACAAATTTTATGATGCACCTGTGCATAAGGGGATGCATTTGCTCGGATCGAAGCCGATCACGGAGCGTCGTTCATCATTCTTTCACGCCCGGGGAACAACGAAATCCCGGCCGCGCCGCGGGGATCCCGCTGGAAAGTTCCCGCGATATTAAATGTTGTCCGCAATCTGCGAGACGCGGGCCGCGCGCATCGGGCATTATTAATCGGACGTTTGAACTGGAGCGGACAAGTGTTTGTCGACGAGCAAGTGGACGCGCGCATGATTTATGAACTCGCCCGATACACGGCCCGCTGCCGGGTATCGCGGCGTCGTTAAATTTCAACGATTCCTCGGCCAAGCCGCTGCCAACGGACTGCATAAACCAAAATTTCATCCCGCCGCGAGCGGCGCGGGGAGCGAAGGAATTCGCCTGGCCCTCGACGTGTAATAATGCAGTGACGAGTGAGGCTCGACGGCGGACGTTTCTGGCTCGATTTAATAAGAATCGACGTTCCTCGTCGGGCACGGATTGCAGCGAAAGCGCGACGTACGATTGTCAACGCTTTAGTTCGAACGCGTGCTCGCGGTGAGCAGGTTTCCTTTGGTAAATGATTAACCTTTTGAGCTCTGTGGGATCGAATATTGCAGCAGTTAGAATATTGAATGTTTTAATGAATCTTATTTTAAGGGAACGTTGAAAATTTAATCAGAGAAAAATTATTGTACTGAGAAAATTTTACATTACGTACGCCATTTTGTTCATTCTAAATTATATCAGTTACGTTCGATTCAGTTATCTATTCAACATATTTTCGATAGTTTCCATTACAAATAGAAGTACTTTCAGTCACACGCAAAAGGAATCAATTATCTATTTTATCAAAAATGTTATAGAAGTTGCAAGTATTTATTTAATAATACTCGACGATACATGCAAATAGTATTCTTGCGTTTTCCGCATACATTAAGTTGAAATTTTAACCCTTTGAACCCTAGGCTCCAGTATTGCATCAATTGTAATATTAATTATTTCAATGAATCTTAAAGAAACTACCCTGAAATTATTCGATTTTCCATACATCTGAATTTTGTACTAATTTTGTACTTTTTTCTCATTTTCGCCAGCAATACTATAAAAATTCATCAGCCGACGTTTTCTATATTTCAAAGAATCTTTCGCGAAGGGTTGAATTAAAATAAGAATACGATTTAGACGTTCAGAATTATGGGCACAGTTCACATCGTATTATTCCAAACTAGATTCAAATAAACAAGAACATGACTTATTCAAATAATTAATTTATAACTATTCAATCATTCACGTAATAATAAGTGCTTCGAATATCTTAAGGAACGCAGTCTTCCAATTTTTATAATAAATTCAGAGCAACTCGCCGTTACTGTTCCAGTGTGAAGGGTCGCAAGGGTCGCTTATGAA